AAAATCGATATTGAAAGTTTTATAAAGGAAACACAAGGATTTACTGATTTTAGATTTTTCTGTTGTTTTTTTTCTTGAGCAGAAATTTTTTGTTCGTCTATTTTCAACATTTGCAAGAATAAATCAATATATATTAGATTCCAAACCACAATACTAAATGGAGGGGAAACATTTAATAAAAGTATATAACCTTATTAAAACATCACAATGGGTGAATACTATAGACAGGAAATTTTTAAACCTGTTTTATTTTCGCACTTTCTCCCTCGTCGCAAGTGGGCGAATTTTAAAAGGAGCGAATTCAAGAAAGACAGCTTTAACTCTCAGGCTCTAGCAAAAATGTGTTTGGGTGAATTTAAAACAAGACAAAATGGTTTGCAATTGTAAAATGGCGAAAAAGGAAACGAATCTGTATACAGAATATATAAATACCCTATTCTGATTCAGATGTGTTCGATCGATGCACAAATTTCCAGATATGGGGGATCTTCACGGTTTGGCTTTTATCATGAAACATTGCCTTTTTACACCATCCTCGAATGCGCTTCAGGTGAATAATTTGGGGGTAAAGATTTCTGTATTAGTATTTCAGCAAATTTAGAATGAAATCTATTATTAAATTACAGGTATTTGGTTTGATCATTAAATTGAAAGCAGATTAAAATAGATGTATTAATCAAGGTTTGGAAATTCTGATAAGTTCTTTAAATTTGCCCTTGTTAAAAAAATGGAGAAAAACTCCTCTTTTTTTACGCCGACTCACACTTTTATTCATAGAATTCTACTGATGGCTTTATGCACACATTTAGAAGGAACTTTCTAAAAAAAGAAAAAAATACATGTACCTCTCGATTTATTTGCAAGATTTCCTTAACTATCGTTGGTTTCGATGTTAACTATATTTCAAATGAATTTTACGATTATTTACGAATAAGCTCCCAGTTTCCTATTTCCTATCAAAATCTTTCAGAGTGATACCTAGGTTTAAATCATATATACGTCCGATGTTGTGAATTGAAAAAATTAAAATATAAGGTAACTATACAAGATTTTACAGCTTAATTTTTACATAATTAGTTAATTGATATAATAACCAATTGCAATTTTGGTATTGTTTTCCTTCAAAGAATTATTCTGCAGCATACATGTAACTTGCACTTTAACTCATGCATATATTGTCATATGTTGTATATGCATTCATCGTGTATCCAAGAAGTCTTTAACATTCAGCTTGGAGATCTAATTTCCAGACTTCATTTGTACCAAAACTGCTTTTTTTTTCTTGGCGACAGTCTCGAATGTAACACGATGCCAAGGGTAACCAATTAAAATCACCCACAAGCTATTACGAGGATGGGGAAAGGGAGCAGTAATGCGATCAATTTGATTTAATTATTTTGTGTCTCTCTTGAACTTATATAGGGTCGCATCCCACCTTCTCAAAATCTCACTACGAGATTGACCTTTGTGAACTTTTCTCTCTAATTTCGAGATAGACCTTTGTGAATTTGTATACGGTCGCACCCCACCTTATGAAAATCTGACAAATTTGTTTACCATATGCCTCGCAGTGGTACAAAATAGGATCTTGGGGTGAAAATGAGAAAACAAGAATACAAAATATCATCCTACCCTACTTGATTTTGAGAGTTACCTTCTTCTCCAAGAACTCAGTTGGGATTGGAAAGGGGGGAGGGAATCCGAAAAGAAAATTCCTGGCAAGAAAAAACAAGTCGTATGACTGATGGGACACAAACGCAAATAACTTTTTTTATTGTATTGATAAATGGGGAGCGGGGTACCGCTCCTGTTCCTACGGGGTCATGTATGATGAACCAGTATTGACAGGCTTCATTTTACAAGATATACTAAAGCTCCGACTGATTTAAACGTTGAATACCCCAATTTAAAAATTTTAAAACACGTATGTTGTACAATGGATGTATTCAAAATGTTATTTAATAGCATTTAGGCATTGTATGCCTATTACAAAATCTATTACATATGACAAAAACTTGTGATGACATATGAAGATTAACATTAAGTCAAAGAAAGACAACTCGTTTCTGTTCTTGATCAAGATTAAATCCATGTGTATACAATTAGTTCTGTTGTGTACAGCAGGTAAGTGTTTACGATCACTCTCCTCCAGATCTTCGTGGAGCTTCCTTCTCTTTGTCGCTCTCTTCTTTGCCCGCTGCCTAGCTATGCACAAACAAATCAGAAGGCAGCAGGAAATCAGGGACAGGAAGACAAAAACAGTGCACACAGAAATAATGGCGATCGTGTCCCTAGTCAGCACGAAATCCCCGAAGAGATCTGAAAGTCATATAGAACACATTCTTTTCATAACGTCTTCATACTAAAATTTCACAAATGGCCCGACTGGTAACTGTACATTGGATATTTTTAAAATAATCCCAACTTAATAGTTTTGATACAGGACCTGAGCAAGAAAATAAGACATTCGACCAAATTATGAAATAGACTTATAATGAATATATACCCTCTAGCCAGTAAATCACAACAGGCATGGAGACAACTCTGTTAATTATGGATAATATTCTCTCTACGATTTAGTCTTAACAAATCAACATTCTGAGCCCCAAGTGTGAATGTCAAAGAACTGAGCATTCCGTCAATTTCTCTGTCTGTATAAAACCCCCATTCTGACTTTGAAAGAGCGGCAAGGTTAAGAAATTACAGAAAGCTCGACAATGGACATAAACTATTGAATTTGAACCAGTAAGAATCAACAACTGGATCTCGCTTACAAATGGGTTGTTTTCTTGTCTCTCTCTTTTGAATTGATTTGCGATTTGCTCCCTATCTAAACAATGCGATTTTTCTGTCATTTAGAAAATGTCGTCATGGAATAATACTAGTATTCATTAAGATCCGTAATCTTAAGACTCTGATCTAATATATATATATATATATATATATATATATATATATATATATATATATATATATATATATATATATATATATATATATACTCCATAGTTAAGAATTTAATCATCTGAAAATGTATTTTATGACTTTGGTATGATTTAGAAGAAATTCCTACAATACAGATGTATTGGTGGAATTTAATCTGTTGCAGATCCTTTGGTTGATTGTTTAGGACAAGAGGTTCGTTGTGTCGATTTCAGCGTTGTCGTGGAGATGACAGAGGGATCACCCGGCACTGTTCCTGTTGACGTGAGGGGAAAAAATTCTGCTCAAGAAGTGTAGAAGATAAAATGTTGTGAACTGGACATTTACATGTATGATTCCTGCTTGAATCACTTTAACTTGAAATAAAAAGTTTTTTGAAATAAAATATAATCGCTCGCCTCTTTTCATTTTACATCGCTCCTACATTTTCAAAGAGGGTGTTGCAGTTCTTTTGTTATTTTCCCTAAAGCTGTAGCAGTTTAAAAGAAAAAAAAATTAAGTAACAGAAAACGGTCTTAATTTTTTTCAGATACAAAAGTATATACAGCACAATGTAGAACAATATTTGCAATATGCATATCGACTACCAATTTGCCATTAAAAGAAGTGTAAATTAGTCACATAGCAAAATAAGTCAAGTTTTCTGTTTTTCACATAGGGAATCCCCTTTGTTCTGAAAAATTGCCTCCTCGAAACAGAATGAATTTGATATACGCATAAAGAGACAGGATTTTTCTTCAAGACTGCCATTTCCGATTTTTGTTTCAAAGAGGCATATTTTTGAAAATCATAAAAATCGAAGAAAAATTATTATCAAATTATTAATGCAAAGTGTGTACATAAAATAGCACACGATTTTTCAGTTTCGGAGCGTGTCTAGTGGTAAAGCGAGTGGACTTTAAGCAAGGATTCCTTTTACCTGAGAATGGGTTCGAGTCCTGGAATGGCTGGTATATACATTTTTTTCTTTTACACTATAATGGAAGTACAATGTAACAACTCTCTTGAGAGAGAAAGAGATAGGGAGAGAATGTCAGAAAGTTGATGGGTAATATTTTAAATGCATGCAGAATTAAATTGTTTTCTTTGATTTTGTGATCTAAATCAAATAATACATACATTTAATGTTATATAGTGGCAATGTCTTAAAAAATAAAGTACTATCATTTAAAATAATTTAATTTATTCATATTCATTTCATTATTGTTCTGTTAATTAGTGGCTCAGATTTGAATTGAAACAACTAAATTGAAATGACTCAATGGAATTTCTTGGGTATTGCATAAATAGCGTAATTATTGGACACATTTGTATAATTTGAAAAATATTAACGCACGCTTTTTACAGTACATTTTTCGATGTGCGAGTCTATTTAGGAAAAACTATGATAACATGATATTAACATAAAATGTGAAATGTTTCGTTATAACAAGCTGGACATACCCGTCGTATAAATAAAGCCATGTACGTAGCATTATCTATATTTAGAGATAACTCTTTATGCGTCGTGGGTATTTAAATGTCCTTCTCGATTTAGGGAATAATCACAAGTTTCTGCAACACCCTCTTTCAGTTTTTTTAATTCTAAAATTTTCAAATCGCTCACTCGCCTCAATTTTTTCTGTCGAAAATCCGAAGACCAAGAAATTAAATTGGTGTGGCTTAGGTAAAAAAAAAAGTGGCGGTAACCGCATAGCTTTTCAGTGAGAAAGGCATTTGAATAATTAAAAAAAAAATAATGTTGTGGTTAAATCAATTTATTAATTCTTTTTTCCATGTACATACATTTTTTGTATAGCACAATTTTATATAATTTAGGAAAATATTTTACATAATTTTAGTTCACAAATTTTACATATCAAAACATTTATATAGGATTATAATTTGCTCATGAGGGGAAAAATCATCAAAGACACGTTTTCGGTTCATATTTTGCATTATTAAATGTCATTAAATACTAAAAACTACAGATAACAAAACAGATTTGTAATATATTGGTTACCATCCGTACAATAGGGGTATTGCCCCTCAGTCTACTAAGGCCCAACATAATACATCTAATACGCTTGTAGTGTATAGAGGGTGGTGCTCGAAGAGCAGTTCTGCATCTGAATGAAAAAGTAACCGGAGAAAAGAGAACATATTTTCGTGATGACGTCATATGTTATAGAGGCACAATCAAAGTAATTTTTCAAACACAGCAATGCGCAGGGGGTTAGCGTCTCGGCGGAAGTAACGAATAAAGGAGACTGCACTGGTTCCTTTCCAGAAATAATTGGTGTGAAAGTGCCGTAGTGCTTTTTATCCCGAATATTATTAACTGTAACAAAAAAGAAAAGAAATACTTAAAGCAACAATCGACATCAATATTTCTATATACTAGTAGGTTCCATAGCTCGTAATTTGAATTGTTACGAGTTTTTCTCCAACTCGAGTTCTTGATTGTTTAGAGGCTTACCGAGTGTCTTTTAACAATTAAAAAATAAGAAATAAGGTGCAAATCCGGTAACTAAAGAGCACGTATTTTATTCAACGTTAACCAATCGAATGCTTCGCAGATCATGACCACCAATGTTCGTTAGGAGTTCTTTAACATGTAAGAGAACTAAGAAAATAATCACATGAAACATACAAAGTCAGTGGGAGAAACGTATTTCTTTAATTGGTTATAAATGTATCAGAATCTCTAATAAATTAGATTTAATTTCTGTGAATTAATTGATATCAAATAACAAATTTCTCTTAACTTATGCCACAATGTTGTGAACTGTCATTAAAAATGATTGGTAACATGCAACAATCTTACCTCCAGACCAGGTTCCATCATCATAGCAACCTGTAGAACAATCCAACTTTTTCTCCTCGATGAGACTTACACAGGATATCAAACCACTGTATGTTTCTCCGTCAAACGATCCACCCACTCTCAAAGTTCCTGGGGTGTGGAAGCTAAGATCTTCAGTAGCACTAACGGAAGTGGACTTTTCACTCGCATCATCATCATCGAAAACGGAAATATCAACTGCAAGCTGGATTTTATCCTGAGATATGTCAACTCCCATGCCGATTTTCTGCCATTGTCCCAACTGTAGAGTATTATGGGTTACAGTCAGATTTTCCACTTTGCTAACGGTTGCCCGAGTTTCTGTGGATGTGGAAACGAACTTCATATCGAAAAGACCGTCGTCGGACTTGTAGTGTAGGATGCAGCTATGATTGTGAGTGGCAGGGTTTACGAAGGCGGAGAATCCGTAATCCGAGTTACTAAGTATTCTGGGTAGGCGGATGTCAATATATGACCCTCCTGACAGTCTGACAGAGGGCATTAGGGAGGAGGGGTAAGGGTAATCGTCGACAAAAGTCAGGGGACACGATGTCATTGACCTCCCGCCTGTGCTCAATAAGACATCCTGTGTGCATATCATTGGAACCAAAGGCCATCTCATTACAGTCTTTGTGGAACATGGTGCTTCTACACCTGATTTATAGGTAGAAATAAAAATAAATGTTTTCATCTAGGGCATTCTACTTTTATGTATGTAATCCTTAAACTAATATTCATGGAAATTATGGAGTTCCATCGAGTTTGGATTTTTGAGTATTTTGTTGTTGACAAACAACGAATCTAATTTTTGATTATACAATATATTGCATGCACAGATTAAACTCAGTGCTACACTAACAGGTGCTCCTTATACACTGATCCTACATCTAAGTGAAGCGGTTCATATAGAAGAAAAAAAAACATTTTCCGGGTAACCACTGCAATGGGACTGAGAAATCGTTATCAATTAATAATAATTTTATTTTCATAAATACCGTTATGAACTATTTCATAAATTAATTGAACTTTTCGATGTGAACTTGTACATGTAAAGTTCAATTAAAGATCAATATCAGTTCCCGTATACAAAGTAAAAACTCAATTCCGTGAAAATAACAAATAAAAATTAAAAAAGTATGATAATTATGATTTACTCTTCTGAATATATGTCAACACATTCAATTTTCCAATTCCAGACCAATATCCAGATAACAGTGTGGTTTGCTACAATCATAAACTTCTTAAATACAAATTGCAATAATTATTTTAAGATTTGATTTTTTTTAACAAAATCGAGCGATTTAATATACTTACATGATAAAAAACAAAGAATTCCAAGAAATATCAACCAGAGTGCCTTTACTGGCACCATGTCGTGAGAATCTGACAACTTCTGATTCATCCTAAGCTAAACTAATATTTGTGCCTAGCTTCATAACAGCTCCATTGTGAGTCTCTTTCTTTGTTTAAGGTCGTTCAATATGTAACGGACTCATTAACATTTATCCAAACAAGTGCAATGATTTTAAAGAGGAAAAATAACTTGATGTTAAGCTGAAGAAGATCGTCATTAAAAACATACAGATTTTTTTTCTTACTAAACAAGATGTTATTTACAATATTTCCTCAGACAGTGGAAACATGTTTATTTAGCTTTTGATCCTCTCTGAAGATGTGTCCACAACAGTTATTGTCTTGGTGTGTTCTTTTACGTAATTGTTCGATGCGTTTCTTTCAAGGTCGTATTTAGATTTTAAAATTCAAACCCATTGTTATTGTCAATTTTGGTCTTGATTTTCTTCCAGATTCGAGGTCATTGATATGTGTATTTCATACCGGTAGGTATCGAAAGTTACACAAGAAACAATCAATGGTCGATTGTCGGTCATAAATCCAAGTTTCTGCAAAAAGTTGTAAATTCGCAGCAAACTTTGATGATATTCTAAATTTTTTATGTCCTTGGACCGCTCTCCCCCAGGAAACAAGACTCCTCGTAAGTAAATAAGAAGAGTCCTATGCATATGTATATAAGTAAAGTGGCTTGTCCATGAGGTGTCCAGCATCCCTCTTCCACATGTTTTTTGTTTGTTTGCTTTTTTGCGTTTGATACGTTTTGTTTGTTTCTTTCTTTTTTCCGGAAGTGGGGGGGGGGTATTAAAAAAATAGGTGAGCTGACCTTTTCGAAAAGAAGATGGGCGAACAAGGCGAGCGTATAGTGCAACAAACATGAAGGTGAAAAATTAAATCTCAACAATAACAAAATTTTCATTGATATTTCATCTAACATTAAAGTATACTTTATGTAAAATTTCCACAATTTGCAAAAATCCCACGAAGATTGTCATTATTTGCCTATGAAATAGCATACACACACTAAAGAGGGCAAAAAGGATCATTTTCTCATACTATAACACAATTTTTTGATATGAGTGGGTCTTCGCTCCATTTTTTTGAAAGGTTATTATCAAAGTTTGTGTCAAACTATACATTTTTTGGTAAACAAAAACATGGAGCAAAGACCCACTATACCTTAAAAATACACTTTTATGACATAACATTCGCATCTTCTGAGAAATACTTAAGTCCATTTAGTCAAGGGTCATATCACAAACACGATTTAAATGCCACTATTCATCAGGAGCTGTGTGGCGTCGTGGCTAGTGCGTTGGTCTTAAAGGAAAATGATACTCAGGATTTTTATTGCTAGGGGGGGTTCGATCCCCACGAGTGCCACATTATTTTTTAATAACAGAATAATTTTTGCCGAGAAAATTTTCCTCAGAAAAGTTTTGTTTATCATAATTTCATGAATTTCAATAAAGAGAACTTTACTCTAAATACTAATTTCACAAACTGAATTTCATTTTTTACATATCTGAAGATATAGGAATTCTGCACGCCTTGTTCACCCATCTCCTTTCTGGATCCCACTTGGAGAAGAGGTAGGGTAAACGTAATCCTATGTGTAATCTGAAGAATGCAAATTAATTGCTAGAATAAAACATTCTGCACATAATATAATAATTGAACGAGGAAAATATACGACAAAATTGCAAGAAATAACAAACACATTTTTTAAAGCGTATTACTTTGATAATATTGAAAAAGACGAGAGAGAAAAATAGAAATAAAAATTATTACTCGGTATGAAATCAAGCATAACCAATACTAGTCCCCTACCGGTAAATGTAATCTGGTTCCCCTAAAAAATTAAGAAGGTCCTAAATTAAAAAATCATCGAAGGGGAGCAAAATGCAAATTTGGTCTGTAATTCATCAAGGATCGCCCACATACCAAAAAAAAAAAAAAAATCAGCTCAGTATTTGCAAGCGTTGGGGAAAAAGTGCGGAAAACCATGTGGGACAGACTGACAGACAGACGAAAGGGAAACCTACAGTTCCTGGTTTTACCGGTAGGGAACTGAATAAAGAGGAAAATGGACGATTATTCTATTCGACATTGATCAATAGACGGCACTAATACGACCTCTGTGTACTGAACCACTGCAAACTTGCATGGATAGTAAAACACGAAAATGTATTTTTTTAAATTAACTATCTCAAAATCAATGAATAAGTTTGTATTTCTGAAATTAAGTACGCTTTTGAATTGATTGATTGAAAATGAACATGTCTAAAATGTTTAGCACAATACTGAATGACTGCCCATCCTCAGAAATTTAGGTCATGGTAGAACATCCCATTTTTATGGCTTAAAATATAGAAGGAAATATTTGCTTTGCTAATGCATTCAATAACTGACTTTTTTTTATGAATAGTGCATTAGCAATTTGTTTTCGGGGAAAACGCCACGTTCGTATATTTATGTACTTAAGCATAGTCCGGACGATCGATGTCGTCCGGCAAGACATAATGGTGTTTGTGTATTGAATACGGATCATTCACAATCGTTCCATTTCTATAAATATCGTATTGTGGCATGTCAAAGGTAGCTGTTTCGCCAAAAAAGTTCATTGGCTGGATTAAAAATCCACGTGTCGCTCCAGTTGTCATGGGAAAATCTTCAGCACTCGGGAGGTGAAGAAAGTGTACAGAGATCCACGTGACTAGGTCAGAATTGATGATGTCTTCATCATTAAGAAAACTTTCTAAATTATGAAGTGGGTCATGAAGTCGCTGTTTGTCGTACTGAAAAGAATCAATGAACTGTTCATCGTCATGGTGTTTTGATACTGCCAAGTTATATTTCATATGAGGAAGAGCAACAATCGCAGGGTGATCAGGAGGTAGCACTTCCTGATACTCTTGAGTGTGTTCGATTTTGACGCCACGAAAGTTCTCCCATTTATTTTGTTTATTCTCGTTAATTATAGACCAGATTACTGGCTTTGAATCAATCACTAAACCTTTTTCTTTGCTTAACCTCTCATACTCTAGATATCTTGTGTATTTAGAGGTAACACCTGGTATATCCGACGATCTTCTGTCTGTTTGACTTCTGATGCCTTCAGAAATCGTCCCTCCTCTCCAGTGAATCTTTTCAAATGTATTATTACGACCAACTACGTCAATATCGACCTTAAATGCAAAGAGGTGATCGTGGATACTTCCCAATGAATGCTCTGCTACTCTGTTGCCAAATTGGGTCCGGGACTTTTTAGAGCCAACTGTGTCGTCATCTTTGAACCAGAAAGCAGTATACAAACTCCCATAGGCAGTTGCGTACGTCCACATCTTTCCGTCAAGATGAAACTGGAAATCAATCATGTAATCATAGTTCCCAAGCCCAAGTGGGATGCGGATATTGAGGTAATTATCGTTCATACCACTGTTAACATACCCATTGTGCCGCCATAATGGGCGTTGTCCATCTGCTTCGAACACACAGATGCCTTCTCTTAAGGAAGGCGTTTGTCTGCCTTCACTAAATGTTGTAACATTCAGTATAGTCGCGTATTCAGGACAATCCAAACCCTGAATGATATTCGGAAAATTACCCAATCGAAATATCATATCGCTCAAAATTGTCAATGTTGAACCTGCTCCAGGGTTCAAAGACGAGTAGAGAAGGGTAAGGTCGTTTAACGAATTCTCGAAAACGATAAGTTCTCCTTTGTAACGAATGTTAAATACTGCTGGTCCGTGATAGTTGTTCATCGATAGTTCTAACGACCACCCCATCCACTCAACAAGATAATCTGTCACTTTATATCTTGGTCCTTGTGGTTCTACAGTCTTTGTAGGTCTTTTCGACGCATTTTCACGCAGAGGTTGGTTACTATACTTCTTATAATCTCGAGAAGTTTTTATTTGGTCTCTATAACCTTTAGGCAATGTAAATAAAGTTAGACTCCCGTTCTTATATGCATCCAAAAGTTCATCTGTGCTCACAAAAGGACCCTGGCGGAAGAAGAAAATGTCGTGAACTTTCCAATTCTCCCAGTCGAGGCTTGCATGAGACACGGTGGCAGATACGGGGAGAATATCGGAAGTGGAAAGTCTTCCTGGAATACCAAGAAACACAACCGAGCTTCGACCTCTCTGAGAACTCACCGAGGAAACAAAGACTCGTAAACGTTTATCATTATGGTGTGCAGCATTCACCGTGCCACCATCAAAACATTTCGTAAACAGTTCATTCAATTTTGCAAGCTCCATAGTCGCCACATTCTGGACTATTAGTGCTTCCTCAGAGCTTCGAGGTCGTCGATCGTGGTTGGTAACTGTACGTAAAACTTTATGTATCATTTTTGGCTGTTGTAATGGTCCTATCTGATACTCCTCAAAATATGGAGGTATTTCCTGTGCTTTGTCCACGTAAACTCTGGCGTATCTTCCAGGGTAAGGTCCATTTTCGTCCAGATAAGATAGCACCGCTTCCTTACTTGGCAGCATAACAGAGAGGCTAATAATTTTGTTCCTTTTCAAAAATGGTATGAATGATTTTGATTTAGAATTATAAACTTTAGTTATATTTGCCTCTACACAATACTTAACAACTGATTTCATTTCATCCACTGAAAGCGGGGAGAATACTGATGGCGGATCCCTCCGACCATGAAATGGTTTGGGGTGATTATCGAATACTGTATCATCTCTCTCGGTGTGTATTGCACGACCTACAAAGTACCCTGCCCCCAATCCTATAAACAAGGACAGGAAAATGACCAAAATGTATCGCCATGTCCGCGAGAAACAAGTCTCATCTTGAAATGTAACTTCTGGTAAACTATCCGAATTCCCCTCTTTGTGATCTTTTGAAACACCATTCCTTCAATTTAGAGTAAATAAAAAGTAAATTTTCATGCCGAATTTGAAACATGTTTACAAAGTATTTTTAGAACTCAATACTTAGGCTTACCTTTTCATACTTTGTATATCTTGTCAACAAACACTACGAGTGATGCAAATTGACGGAAATGCACAACTACCCACGGCAGTCTATACTTCATTATACACAGAATATTTGATTAAACATGAGGTAGAATATATTATAACATATCTATGTAGTGGGTAAAATTAACAGGCCTATTGTCTACCTGTATCTTTGTTCATTCTGAGCATAAGACTCTCTCTAATCCATTTAGATTTCAGAAATCCAGTAGATAAAAAAATTTGATTTTATGACATGTGGTTTTCTTTGAAGGAATTTAAACCCTTACTTTACCTGTGTCGGGTGGTAAGACTTGATCTATACAAACATGTTTTATTTTTATAAAAATGATTAAATCCATCCGAATGTTTTGAACGTGCATGTATATTATTAATGACAAAACACCTTTATCTGGATACCATGAAATCAAAACATTATTAAAAAGTAAAATGTATACTCAATGATGGTAGATAGGCGTCGGAAGGAAATTGAAAGGGGGTGCTACACCAACAAAAAAAAGGGGGGCGCTAAGCCTCGATGTTCAATGCCTATATTATGTCTATCTTTGCAAAAAAAGTGGGGGGGGGGGCTAAGCCTCAACCCCCCCGGTTCCGACGACTATGTGTTATTTAAGAAAGCAATTTAAATCTGTTGAATTCGGTCATTAAGTTCAATGAAAAAAAATTTCATTTTTTATTTTATTATCTTAAAATCTTACTTTTACTTTCAGAGAGAGAAAGAGCCTGTAGAATCTTATTTTTAAGGTTGAACAGAAAATGAAACAAACACCCCCCCCCCCAAAAAAAAAGAAAGAAAAGAAATTCGTTGATATCTCCTCGTTGTATTTAATTGAAATTTTGTAAAGAATATCTCGGAAATCTTTCTCAAAAAACAGACTTTTCCCGAAACTTTTACCCTCTCTTTGTCGTCCATCATTTTAATATTCATTATGTCCATCCGAATGCACGATCCGTATAAAACACTCTTACGATTCAGTCGAAAAACTAATAAATCCATGCTGTATTTTCAGTACAAAAAATAATAATCAATACCAACTCAGTGGATCTGGAGATGTACTACATATTTTTCAAGACGTACCCCCAACTTCTTCTCGAGACAGCAGTATACTGTCCTGGTTTTATAGAGTACCAAAGTGTATAATTAGGATAATAAGAATGAAGTTCATGATTATGAAAAAAATCAAAAATTCTCATCACGAGTTTGTTTATCATTTACTTTTAAAGTTTGAATGAAGGATACACTGTATACAATATTTTCCCCCCCCTTCACATTTGCGAACGATTTTGTTCCGTTTTAAATATTTGCCCTGACACAGTTGTGTTAGAGATCACTCTTGTTGTCTTTGAATTCGCTCCGTTTTAAAGGGGGAGTTTCGATAAGGCCGCTCAGCGGCCCACTTTTTTTCATAAAAATAAATTTCAATTTCTTTTTTCAAAACTAGTTTAGAATTCAAGATAAATATGTTAACTTTTGTTATTTTTTTATTTCAAAAGTTAATATGAGATGAATTCACACCGTAGCTGATACATACTTAGATGTATCCTCAAATCCGTTAACATTAGGCTTATGGGAAAATGTAAGAGGGTGGCATTTATAAATCGATGTTTAGAATATGAAGTGCATGAGGGACACTCACCTAAATTTGTTCAGTAATTAGATATACTCTGCACACTAATTTCTTGACATATGATGAGTGTCGCGTGTGCACTTCATATCCAAAAATTGAAAATTACATAAAATTTGCATATCTAAAATTAGAACCTCCTGGTTTCTTGATCTGACTCTGTATTAAAATACCAAGCCAGAAGTAGCATATTTGTTTAAATAAAAGAAGATTCTCGATTATTTTAACAGTAGAAAACATTATCGTATCCTATCTTCATTTCGATACTCTTTTGTCGCCAACGTATAACGTTAACGTCACATTTTTAGCTCACCTCCTCGAAGTTGGGGGAACTTTTGTAATTCCGTCGGCATCCGTGTTCCAGGTTAAAGTTTTTGAAGAAGATTTTTTTTCCAAATATATGTATGCCCTAATAGATATTAATCAGAGTCACCTGATCCAGCGTGTTTCCTTGTCACCAGTCAGGTTTCAGATGCTGGATTTTCAGCCAAAGAATGTCCAGGTAAATGTTTTAAAAGCAGGTTTAAATTTTCGGAGAGAGCATCTGTAAGCACTTGTTGACCAGACTTGCTTCATGATGCATCTTCGGATGCACAGTACTAGATTGCTTCAGATGCTGGATATGACCTACATTTCCTTAATGAGTGAGCAGGTTAAAGATTTTGAAGCGGGTATCGGTCTTACATAACTATAAGCCCTATCGTGACCAAACTTGCACTGATGATGCATCTAGGATTGCTCACTACCAAGCATGGTTCAGATGCTGGATCTTTCTTACATTTTCCGACTGACTGAACAAATATGTATTTCCTTGTAAATAGAAATCCACGCTCCAACATGCTAGAGAAGTGCCCATATATTTCCGTGTGGTTGATATAGGGAACGTGGGTTGTTTTAAGTCTTGGTGTCTAGGCGCATATGTCTGCCTGATTAAGGATTAAACACATATCTTTGGGGTTTACACATGTATTTTGAACTGCGCTCTGGTATAGCAAATCATAAATAACGAATTCTAAAACTCTCTAAATCAATGTGAAGCAACTTAAGTATCTATGGAGAGTTTGGAAGCGAGAGGAAATTAGTCCTGGCTGGGATTCTCTCAGTTATGCTGAAAACATATAATGCTGATCTATGTGGGCAAATACTTCTAAGTTTCATAATCATTATATAATCATTTCATAATTATCAAATACATTGCAATATACTGAAGCCGGTAGGTGCTAGGTAAAAAAATGTATTATCTGACGGTCGCCAGATAAGTTTCTAGCGCCTGCCATTGAAATATCTAGCGACCGCCAGATAAAATTGTAGTGTTTTTGCCAATCAAGTTGTAGCACCCAGTGATATACCTTAATGCTCTTGATTGACAGAGGTACACAGACCAAGTATTTTTGAAGGCGGTGCTTAAAATCTCTGCCTTTAACGACATCAACAACTTAGTCAAATCTGGGAGTTTCAAGCCTTATTAGCAAAGATCAAATCTACACTTTATACAAAAATTCACTTCATAAGGTCTTCACCTCATAACTTTAAATTTATTTTTTTTTTATTAGATTACATGTCTACACCACAAGAAACTTATTTGTCGGCTTCTAGTTATTTATGTGGCGGTCGCCAGATAAGTTTCTGGTCGCCGCCAGTTATTTATGTTGTGGCCGCAAGAAAACTATTTGGCAGCCGCCAGATATATTTTTCTAGTGGCTGCCATATAATTATGTGGCGGCCGCCAGATAAAATATTTTCTTTCCTTTCACCTACAATGTACCAGCTTACGTAGCAATATGATGCTTTTAAATAAACTAAAATTTATTTGTGTATGTATTTAAAGTTGCATTCATTGTTTAATCTTTTTATTTCAAAAGATTTTATTTAATTTTAATTTTATGATATTAAGGTATATTTTCATAAAACATGTAGTTGTATAACCTCATTGATGAAAATGTATTGCATATACCTGTATATGACGTTTTTACATTTACCTATCTCATGTCTACATATCTTTTATTTGCATTTTTCGTATGGGAAAATGTTAAATATTGATTATAAAGTTTATGTATAAACTGTCGATTAATTATGATGTTAAAACTTTCTATATATGTTTACGTTTTATATACTAAATTCATCCTCCTTTAAAGAAAAGTAACATTTAACACATCAGAAAAATATCGCACCTTAAAAAACATTCGCATAAGAGAATTACCATTTTCCGTATAAAAAAAAATGTTGAAATTGGTTTATTTTTGTCTTTATTCATATTAATTCTATTTCATTTACGATTTTGACGCTTAAACAAATCCACTTTCCCCCTATAAAAATGTCTACTCCAAAAATATACGACAGGCGGTATACTCGAATTTTCAATTATCACGTTACCGGAAAATGCGTAACATAAATTATTGTCATATTTTTAGGAAGATAAGGAGTTTTTCTACAAAATATCAAAATTTCATAAAATTTCGTGAGGGGCCTTATCGAAACTCCCCCTTTGCTCAGACGCAATAAGAGCAAAAATAAAACGAAGCTAAAAATTAATTACAGTAATTCAAAATCACTTGCCTTCTCAGGCAGATCGCACTAAAGAGTATAAAAATTCGCCTTGATTTTTCTTCCTGTAACGATTGCGATTTGGCAAAAATAACAGAGATGTTGGTCTACGCCTAGGGAGTTCGGGTGACAGTACGAAACATCGCTGTACACGCATTCCAGAATACAATGAATTACAATGCTAGGACACTGACAACTTTCGGTTTTGGGATGTTTTATATCATTTTGAAAGAATTTACTTCACCCTGATATCATATTGTAAAGAATTTACAGGATGACAGTAACTACGTTTCCAGTATTGTTACATTGTAGATTTACTGTCATCCGGTAAGGAGATGGGCGAACAAGGCGAGGGAAATGGCTATGGTGCGACAAATAATAATGTGAAAAATTAAATCTCAATTAAGCACAATTTTCTTTGATATTTCTTTTAAAATTAACGTAAATTTTATGTAAAATCTCCAAATTTAAGAAGGCAGAAATGACAATTTCTTCATACTCTGGCATAATTTTTGCATATGAGTCAGTCGTTCAATATTTTTGAAAGTTAATCCTTGAAGTATGCGTATAAATTCACATTTTTCAATTAGGAAAAACATTGATCAAGGACCCACTATTCCTTATAAATACATACTCAAAGCTTTTGCGCATCTATTACTGGAAACCTATTACATTTGGCTGCTTATGTTGTCGCAGAAAGCAGCTTTTATACTGAATCTAGTACATCGCTATATTCATATATAAAGCATATTCAGAAAGCGCTTAATCAAGATAAGCGTTAACATGTTAAAAAATTGGAAGTATGCCTATATTCTCCTGGCTTAGAACATACTGTCAGATTTCCCCCATCAAAGTTTGATTTTGGGGACAGATATTAGCCATTACCAAGTGTAGTCCTTTCTGTACACGCCAAATAAATACATTTAAAGTATTTTTATTCTAAGCAGAATACATTAAATATTCAATAATAACATTTTTATTCGATCTGACTAAATCAAAGAATATAAAAAATGTGAAATCAGAACTTCGAAAAAAGGATCGTAACAGAAATTTCTAGAATTTATTCAAATGAGTAAGAATTAAAAGTATCCTATCTCTGAAATCCTATAAACAAGCTTATTGGGAGAGATTATCCATCCATCAAATAAACTTTCAAATTCTTCATCACCAGTAACACCTTCGATCACCCTGAGCTTCATAATCATATACATATAATTATGTCGTTTCTTATCATTCCCTTGTGCACCGTAATACAAATGAAAAGATATAGGACAAATCCAATTACCATTTTAAAAAAGCCTGATTGTTAGAACTGAACTGAATTTATTAATTTGTACAATTGTATATAGAGATTGGTGATAAATATATCATGCGTGAGTATAGAGAATGAAAAATAGTACATGTATATGGATTCATTAGATCCTGAAGCACATTTTAGAAGTATGTTGAATAAATATACAGTTGATTATTATTTAAAAATTCATTATTTCTCTAAATGTAATTACATTTTTAAACCGTATTTGCTTTGATCATTTTTTTTTCTTTCCTGTATCAGGGTTATATCTGGACAGAATACACTGCATCTAAATATTTTTTGAATTTTATTCATCTTTGTACATTCTGTAGTTTAAAGTCTGTGATCTTTAAACGCCCGAATTTCACTTTTGTTTGAATTGATCAAGTAAGAATTCTCAAGTTAGAAGATAAAAATATTTACATATGAACTTCGAAGAAAACAATAAAAATGCACTTATTACGAAAATTATTGCAGAGATAAAAATGTTAAGATTTCGGTTTAGGCTTTGGGTTTGGTTTAGGTTTTATTTTCTCTTTCGGGGACTTTTTATCAGTTGTGTTTTCATAGAGCTTTTCTCCTTCCACGTGGTCTTTTGGTGTAGGTTCTGCAGTGTACACATTCTCCTTTGATAATTCTGACAAATCTCCTGTATTTAAAAAAACGTAGCTGTTTAAATTGGATATTTTCAAAGACCTTGAAAAGAAATTCAGAATTAATTTTATTCAACGTTTTTACCTTCGTTTACATATTGTCTGGTGTATTCTTCATACATATGATTATTGAAGCTGCTTTTTCTTTTTACAATCGCTTCATATGCTTCTGATCTGAATGTAAGATCAACACTAAAATACTCAAACATATCAAATTTAAAATCTTTAAAGATATTTTAAACATTTTCATATTATAAAAGTTTTTTTTCAGCAATTAATTGCACAATGCACAGGTAAATTACCTTTGTTTATTCACTTTCTTTTCTAGAAAAATGAAAACAAAAACATTTTTCCTTTGCATGGAGTATGTACACATACATGTTTTTAAAATCAGTAAAAAAAATATATATATATCAATCCATACATCGAATCTTTTTATTGTGTTGTTTATCCTTTATATTCAGTTTTATAGTAATGCCTTGAAAGTAATTAAATATAATACATGATTGATTCAATTATTTGAAATTCTTTGAAGTGAATATATCTAATAGAATTAAGTTCATAAAGATATCAACTTGAATAATATTTGCTAGAGTAAGCGTAGAAATCTTGTAAGATTTTTTAAAAAAAAAAACATGGGGCATATAATTCCTATCTAAAATCAGTCAAAAAAATATATCAATCCATGCATCGAATCTTTTTATTGTTTTATTTATCCTTTATTGTATAAGTTAATGTTTGAGTTTTTGAGTAGTACCTTGAAAGTAATTATATGATATGAAGGCCACCGCAGCGATGCTCAAAGCTAGCAAGGTGCCAAGGACAGCTCCAATGGCGATGGGTGCAGAAGACGTATCTTCTAGAATTATGTAAAAAATATACTAGTTCAATGAAGTTATTTTTGTAATTATTGTTCCATAATTTAGATTTAAATGTTTAAAAGAACTGCATTGTAAAAAATAATTGTTACACTTAAATTTCGTCGTCTTTAAAAATAAAGAAAATCGGAAAAGAAAAAAATGAAATAATTTCTTATACATCTCAGCAGTCACTTCAACCTTCTGGGCTTGCAAGGAAGGGTTATCTCTCTTTTAATGCTTATCAGCTTACCCCTTTCCTCCATCAACCCATCATCTGTGTTTGCACGAATTAAACTCAAAAAAGAGATTAAGGTACCCTTTGTACCAGAATTTCTTAATATTTTTGATCTTGCGAACAGATGAAAAGCCAGACAGACAAACAAGGTCAAAACATAACCTTCTTCCAATCTGGTTGGCGAAGGTAATTAACAAAGAATCGGATGATGATAACCGTTTAAAGTATCCGTGGTGCAGTTGACAACCTTTGACAGAGAGAACCCGTATCTATTACTGGTGACCACTCTAAAGAAGTACATCGTATTGTCTTGTAGACTGGAAACTGTAACATGCAAAAGTTCTTGTTTAATTCTTTCAGGAATGATGCCAGAGCCGTTAGAAAAGACTACACTATCAGGTTTGGTCGAGTATTGAACAAATGAATTTTGATCCTCGTAACCAAAGTAAGATGACTGCCAGGTTACGTGAGCTTTTCTGTTTCCACAAGAAACAAGTACTTGATCTGATTTTAAAGGTTTACCTAAAGAAAAAAAAAGATTGATCGTGAACTAAAAATATTTTTAAAAGTGACTGTGTTCCTTTCAAAACAGTTCTGTAATTGATTTATTATAATGTTTTTTTTTTCTTTTTACATTAACATACAATGTGGATATTTATTTAGATTTACTTTTAGGATTAACGTAGATATTTATTATTGTTGTTCCGTATGCGTTTGAAACAATCATTTTATATATCCCATGATCCTCTGGCTGGATATTTGACCTGCGCAGTGTGATGCGAAAGATGTTCGTGGAAATGGTGGATATACTGAGATCAATGAGAGTATTCGGAGCACCATTTGGGAGTGTCAATGTGTAGTTAGGCTGTGGATACGATAAGATGGTGACGTCACCGTCCAAGTATTTGTTATTTCCTATTGGAACGAAAACTGAACTCCCAGAAGAATTTAAACGTGGCGAACCTACAATAAAAATATTCATTTTAAAATGGTGACCTATAAATGCATTAAGCTAGTCTTCCTCGTTTGAAAGTTTAAAAATAAAAAAAAGTATTACTGTACTCCAAGGTAATGATTAATTTTTTTTTCAAAAACCAGGGGTTTTCGGTAGCTATGCTCCCCGTAGACCATTCGTAGTTTTTACCACTTTTTTCCCTTCAAGCGAGATCTTTGGAACATATGAAATCTATGGAATGGGAGGGGGGAGCGGGGGTGCGCTGAAAACCTTTGACTTGTGGAAAAGCATACTAAGGGTTTAAAAATATATCGTGGCAAAACAGGACAGCGTCTCTTTTCCGTGTTCAGCCAAAAACGTTTTAAATAAAGTTCAATTTGAATGGTAATATAGATACAAAAGATCTCGCCCTTCGTCAAGTGATACATGTATATGCATGATTTTTTTTTATAGAATGTGATGACAAATTTCGTATAAGTAAGGTTCGAAACTTTATATTTGAAACAAATATTTAGCTCTAAAAAACCTTTGCCAAGAAAGAGTTTTATCAGGATTCGGGAAATATAGGAAGCAGAAATTTGAAAACATTACTAGTATTTATTACTGAGTCTTTTGTAAAATGTTAGATCAGTCTTAATTTAATATTAGTACGTACAGTAGACATAGAGGTTTACGACTGTCGAGTAGTTATTTTGGATCCCGTTGCTGGCGACTACTCTAAATTGCCCAGTATCAGTACACCGAGCCCTTGATATGGTGTAAGTTGAAATCCCACTGACAGAACCCTGGGTATAAAGTTTATCATTGCCCCTGAACCAGGATACGCTTGAGGCCGGGTTACTGGTCACCGTGGTGGACATCTGGGCCCGTTGTCCCTCAGAGATCGTCAATGTCTGTCCATTAAGCGTAGGTCCATCTATACAGAATAAATTATATGTACATGTATTGTCTTTTTCAAAGCAAACGTGGAAGATTTTTTGAAAATATGATCATTCAATGATTGCAGATGAAACTTTAAAATTGAAGGCTTGGACTACTCTTGAGTTATTTTTTCTATAGGATATACATTTCATGATTAAGTCATTATTGCAAATCATTGGCTTCAGCGAAATGAATATAGAATGTAATTTAACATTTTAAAATGCTTTAAAAAATCATACACATGTACATGTATTGTTTTACATGTGTTTATTTCATGTTTGCTTCGTATACCTTTTACTACCGAAAAATTGAAAATAGCAGTAAGGTAATATCGACAATCGAATGGAATTTTCTTTTGAATTCTTTGTATTTGGAAATGTGGAGTAAATATGGGGATATTCAGTGATACTGATGCTTGATTTAAATATATTGAAATAAATAGTCTTGTTTCCCTTTTTTTTTTTCGACTCGTACAGTGTGCATGTGCGCGGGATCGTTTGTGTGAGAGATGAAGAGCGTTAAGCAATACTTAATACCGGTATTTATGACTGAGAGGAACAAAATTAACGTACACAAAACATCCACAAGGAATGATTGGGTTGTTCTGCCTTTTCCTCCACCAATATACGAATTTTCTGCGACACAGTAGTATGTTCCTGAGTTCCCTCTTCTAATGTAATTTAATTCAAGAGTATAGCCAGACTGTATGGGACTGGAACTTCCTGATTTGGTCCAAAAGACATTAGTTGAGGACGGATTTCCTTTGATGACGTTGCATTGCACCCTGACGTTGTCTTGCTCCACTGGTCTTATATCAGCGATTGTGGATACCAATGGAGGGTCTAAATGACATGTAAACGAATGAAATTTATTGCATCCTACTCTGAATAGAAAGCTCAAGAGGATTTTTTAGCACATCATGGGGCATTCTATATGCTATAATAGACAAAATTAGCTAAGAATGAAATAATGTTTTTAAATACTGTTTATAAATTTTCATTCTTAAAGTTAACCCACAAATATTGGTGAGAATTTAATTACTTTTATTCAAATTTTAACACCTTTCTTGATAGTTATTTACAACTGATCAGAATATAACTACAATATTTCGCCAACTTATTATTATTTATTGTTTATAAATATCAAAATTTTCATAAATTCAGTTCAATTAAGGTATCAAAATTATATCAAAACGCTATTATTTTATTAATGAGATAACATTTTGAGGCCAAACAATAAGGATAAGAAACATATATGTTTGCATAGAAAACACAATGACTGGCTTTTTAAGGTTTTTTAAAGAGCTCACTTTGGTAATTAGAATCACGTGCACGTATCTTGAACAATTTAACTTTTCTTTTAAAAAGGTACAACTTGGAAAGGAAATACAAAATCTGAGATGTGTGATGCTAAAGCAACGGCAATTTAAATCTATATTCCTTACAGGTTTGGCTCAGTATGTCAATATGATACCTAACAGATTATTGCAAAACATCACTCACATTGAACATCGACCACAAGTTGTTTAGAGTCGCTGCCTTTTGATCCAGACGTGTAAGTATTCTCTGCAGTACATATATAAGTTCCCGACTGATTCCTGTCTATACTGTACAGACTTAATTTGGTATTATTCTGTTGAAAATCATCGTCTTCCGATTTTGTCCAGTAGTAGAGTGTGCTCGAAGGGTTTCCGTTATTTGCAACACAGCTTACAATTAGATTATTATATTCCACAGGATACTGACTAGAAAATGCTGAAACTTTTGGAGGATCTGTAAAAAATAAAGGCCTGAAAAATAGTAAATTCTATCGTCTTTAAAACAATTATCTTAAAGAGCCCATAACTTACATTCTACATCAATCGTCATGGACTGTGTATCTCTCCCTCTGGTTCCACTGAAATAAGTATTTTCAGCTGTACAAGTGTAGCTTCCGGATTGTGATCTCTGTATGCTTGTTAAGCTCAATATTTTCCCATTTTGTAAGAATCCGTAGCCTGATCGGGTCCATCTTATCTGTGTGACAGAGCTGGGATTCCCTTCAGTGACGTTACAAACCACAGTAAGGTCATCCCCCTCTACTGGTTTCTGAGTTGTAAGTAGAGATATTGTGGGAGGATCTGTAAAAACATTTATTTCATACTATGATTTCATCATTTTTTCCATTGAATACAAGTTTTCTTTTGAATTCTTGGTTTAGCTAGACCTCAAAAATAGGCGATCAACGCACTACAATTGCTTCTGAAAATTATACATGTCAATAGAATTTGTATTTTTATCCAACTCTACAAAACTTGATCACCAGGAAAGGTAATGAAACTTCCATAATACTCAATTAATTCTTGGTAAGTCTTCATGAATTTATTTTTTCGAATAAGTTGATTAATTTAAATTTTAAAAATTGTATCCAACAACTGACACAATACAATAATATAAAACCAGAAGTCTCTGACGAGACTGTAGCTCTACTGGTTTGTACTTATAAGAAAGGAAAAAAGTAGCACTTGGACTTGAAACTATTCAACAGCAATAAATGGAATAATGATTCTTGGTTAAGGTTTACCATTTTTGTGGCAAGTTATATTGAAATCAGACCAAAACTGTAACAGTAGCCTTTTGAATGAATTCCACAGAAATTTCTACTTTTAGTAACTATGGTAACCACTGTTCATCAAAATAAAATTACGAAAAACAATAGACAGAATTATGTATCTCAGTGTAGTCTACTCGTGTGTCCAGTTATATATAGAAATCAGTCCAAAACTGTAGGAGGAGCATTTTGAAAAAAAAGTTTACAGACGACAGACAGACAGAAGGGCGGACGACGGACACCTTACTATCACATAAGCTCTTCTTGTCTCTGACAAGTAGAACTAAAAGAAAAAGATAATATCAAAAAATGGGATTTTGGATTGAAATCTTATTCAACATACACTGTACATCTAGCTGCAGTGTGTTATTGGAGATTCCTTTCCTTCCGCTACTGTAAGTGTTCTCTGCAAAACACACGTATGTCCCCGAATCACTTCTTGAAACGTTTGTTATGCTGAGGGTTTTTTGGTTTTGTCTGAAGTATGACTCGTCCTTGGTCCAATATACTGTTGTAGATGGCGGATTTCCCACGGTGTAATTACACGTGACAAAAACATATTGACCCTCAATTACTTTCTGTTCATTCATTGTGGACACATTTGGAGGATCTAGAATTAATTGTGATATCATAATAACTTAGTTTTATAATACATTTACATATGTGCTTCCTTTCTAAGCATAAAAGAATTGAGAAGATATGTCTTTTTTGAAAGACCAGCAGTGGAGTATCTTTTTATAGTTTTCAGAAAGGTTTAAAATCATTCTTTTATGACTAAGGTACAATGAGAAAATTGATCATTATTTTTAATAAGAAAGCTATTAAATAAAATTTAAAAAGTCTTTTTTTGAAAAAAATTGTGATACCTTTCCCAAAAGTGATCATACCTACATGCAGAAGTGAAAGATAAGCACATAAAAATACTCTTGTTAACGGTGAGTAATGTCTGGAGGTGTTTTCATTGCAGTGGTATAGTTTCACTTTCACTTCGCGAATATATATACACCATTTTAACTCGTTAGATCAAGCAAAAGTAAAATTACATAATTGTTACAGTGATACGGATCAAGATTTAACAAGTTCTTTTACTATATACATGTATGTGTGTTTTATTTTCAGTCTATTCAAAGAAACTACATGTAATTTCCATGATAGCCTGAGACACCTTATAATATGCGAGTTTCGAGATTGTAACTCTCCTACGATAGAGGCGCAAAAAGTATCCATACCAGCATGGAAGTGGGATAGGTTGCTAATGTATACAAAAGTGCATAAATAAATGAACGATGGGTATGGCTTTTAAAATTCATTTAATGTTATAGAAAGATGATAGTGCTAAGCAATGATCATTTTGATTTTTTTTATAAAGCTCTACTATACATATGTACACAATTTGCTTTCAATTAGGATACTTGAAAACGAAAGAACCGTCATAGTCTTTGCAAGAAAAATAATTCTTTGATTGTACAAACCTTTTCTAAAAAGTTACTGCGCTCTTTGAAGTTATAATAAGGGAAATAGTCATTCAGAATGCCGACATACAATGATCAGATGCGTGTGTATTTATTAGAGATCCGTATCTCTTCCCTCGTTTAATAAGGTCTAATGCACTGATATTTTCTTTTGTTCCGATTTTTATTTTCTTTTGTTCCGATTCTTTGTTCGTAGAAAAAAATTGAAGCCTTTAATTCGGTAAATTTCGAGTTGAAGAGTGCATCCCGACAATCAGTTATGATGGCACATCGATGATGTAATGTATCCAATATATAAATAACTGTCCCATCTGCCTGCTTACGCGGAAACAAAACTCCCCTCCGTAACGAAAGAGCGCACCAAGGGAGATAATCTCGAAACTTGCGTATTGTATTGTCCCTAATACATGTAAATATGCACGCTCTGATACTGAGCCATTCGTTTCGGTTTTGGCGGCTTTTTAACCCCACCTTTGCAAATTTATTGTCATTTATTCAGTCATTTGAGATCAAAAGTGGTTGTTACGCGTTGACAAGTAAACATTATATTATTATAAAGAAACATGGAATGAATTTGAGGTTATTTTAGTAATGGAAAAATTTGGGTGACAAAAAAGTTTTTCCTTACAATCGATAAGCCAGCATTGAATTAAGTTGCCCAATTAGAGCTGAAGCTGATTGGTCCGTTAAGTCGGCTTATTGTTTTTTCTGAGTGGTTTTCAATGTGTCTGACCAAAGTACTGACAATATCCAAAACCGGAGATAGTGGTCCGAAAGGATATGACCTGTATATGGTGCTTGTATTTTTAGCTTAGAAAACATAATTTTAAATCGTTACAATAAGGGGTACTTACTTTTGGTCGCTTAGGGGCACTTACTGACTAGTTGTGAGAATTTCTCGCCTAATTCGGGCTTTACTCAGACATCGGAAGCTCTTAGAGTTCATTTATTATACACTCAAACTATCAAACAGTGATATGTGATGTACAATATAAGTCGTCATGGTTCAGTTGTGAAAAAAATCAAATACATTATGATATAATAACATAAATGAGAGACATACATGTGTACAAAATATAGCAACAAACACAATGAAAACAGAAAGGAAAGGAATGGGGACACAAATTACGGAGGACAAACTATATCGTTTATTTTAGATATGAATATACAGAGATTTTTTGAAGATTTATAATTTGTAATTGACATAATTTCAGTAATTTTTTAAGTGGATTTTGGCGTTTTACAAAATATGGGGTGTAAAAGATTCTTTCTTAATACTACTCAATTTTTTACATTCTACAATGAAATGGAATTCGTCTGCTATTTGCCCTGAATTCTTGATACATAGCCTTTCATCCAATGGAATAATTGACCATCTACCAATCTCAATTGGGCTGTGGTGGTTTGAAGTTCCAAATTTTAACAGTAGGTTTTCAACCCCCAAATATTACAGCCATAAGTCAAAATTGGTACAACAAGTAATTAGTTTATCAAAAAGATCTATTGACATTCATTTGGTAAGTTAATTGTCAATTTGTGTCTTATCTTCCTTATAATACGATACATTGCTTTCTGTGCTTGTTTACTTAAATGTTTTGGCCTTCCAAATGAGCCTGAATGTGAAAATTTTATCCATAGATACTTATGATAGAATACCTTTTTGACATAGGTCCTTTAGAAAATATTAAAATCTTTGTCTTACTAACATTAACATCAAGTTTACATTGTGAAAAATACAAATAAGAAGCATTCATAGCATTTTACAGATCTACATCTGTGTCAGTCATGATAACAGTAACATCTGCATATAACAAAATAAAAAGCTTAAGATATACATATAATTCTTCTTCAATAGCATCTGTTATGCTTTGCAAACCAAAAATATTTTTGTCTAAGAGAAACTTTTTCAGGTTACATTGTATTAATATATAAGGTGAATAAAAAAGGTGAAAGGTTATCACCTTGGCGAACACCAACATTACAGTTAAAATAATCTGTAATTGTGTCATTTAAATTAATCATAGATTTAATTCTTATGTACATATTTCTCAGTTAAACAAAATGAAATCAGGTTGAATCTTGCAGAATGTCCGTCGCAATCTCGCGTTTTCTAACATTTATGTGTTACGTTTATATTTTTATTAGCAAATTAAGATCGGGAATGCCTATGATCGTGACTTAATTGTTTTCCTTGCATGATTATCTTGCATATTTTTGTTTGCAACTGCACCAAAATACCTTGAATTTTGTTTTTGTCATACTTAACTTCTGCAGAGGAAAACAGGCTTAATATTAATAAATTCTATGGTAATATGAGGTATATTTTAACCTCAATATCTTTTTCTGCTTTTTCATCACTTCATTATTAGTCCCCTACCGGTAAAACCGGAGGGGACTATAGGTCTCCTCTGAGTCTGTCCGTCCGTCCGTCCGTCCGTCCGTCTGTCTGTCTGTCTGTCTGTCCCTCTGTCTGTCTGTCAGTCTGTCCCACTTGGTTTTCCGCACTTTTTTTTCTAAACGCTTGCAGATATTGAGCTGATTTTTGGTATATGAGTGTATCTTGATGAGTTACAGACCAAGTTTACATTTCGTCCCGCTTCAATGATTTTTGACGGAATTATGACCTTTTCAATTTTTCAGGGTTTTCCGCATTTTTTTCTAAATGCTTGCAGATATTGAGCTGATTTTTGGTATGTGACTTTACCTTGATGATTTATAGATCAATTTTGAATTTCGTTCCGCTTCATTGATTTTTGACGGATTTATGGCATTTTCAATTTTTAACGGGAACCAGGTTACACTTGCCGGTAGGGGACTAGTATTGCTAATGCAATACTCTCAGAATGCTTGTTTCATTTTACTTTGTGAATAAAAAAGGCAATATATATGATAAGATTTAGACTGAAAAATCTGTGTTGATATTTTGAGCATTAATAATAATAAAATATCATTTAAAAAATATATGAATAAATTTTTTTAAAAATTAAAAACAAAAGGAAAAAAAATGAACAACGAGTTTCATTTGGTTGAATGATTGATATATATTTCGCGTGGCATCCTGTATTTGTTTAACATTTTTTACAATCAAAGACAATAGTTAAAATTAGATGTTCCGAATCCGCTTACACAGAGGATTCGGAACATCTAATTTTAATTGCATTGACTCAAAGATTACAATAAATATTTTATATCTTCGGATACTTTACAGATTTGTTATTGTTTAGTTATGAAACACTATTTATTGTTGATAAATGACGTATATTATTCAAAATTCTTAGTATTTGGATTTGTTTTCAACGGTTTGTGTTTGGATACTTACATTCAACATTAAGAGTATAATTTTCTATTGGAAAACTGCTGCTTTCATTGGCCATATAAAATGCACCGGCATCGGAGATCTGGGTGTTTGTAAAACAAACGGCTAATTGCACACTGCTCTCGTTGCAAGAAAACATCGGATTCCTATTCCAATAATTTGAATCTAGTAATATATTCTGATTACTATATTTTACACAGAGTTGTGCTTTGTCTCTCATAATGATCACTTTATCTCCATAGGTCATCGAAGGCTTCCAAAACGAAATGCAGGTATCAGATCCAATTTCAGAGGTAACGATATTCTGGCAACCTGTAAGGTAAAAATTAACATTGTCAGTAACGTCAGTGACATATTTCTTTTCGCTAATGTGAAAAAGAACTGAACTCTAAGTCTTTAACAATAATTAAAACAAAGGCCCACAGGAAAAGATGAGACAAATTTTGAAGATCTAGGATCAACTTACTGAGAAATTTAAGGAACTCCAACATCATTAGCACAGTAACAACAATCTTTGCCATCTTGTTTCTGCGTGGGACTCTTCTACTTCCGGTATGAAGTTCTACTATATTTAATGCTGCGTGCAAGGTGTTTTTTTAAATGACTGGAAATGGTGTTTATCGCTGTGCATAAATTATACCCAAACATTCCTTTCACTGTGTTTTACTTTAAAATACATATGTGATACAGCGAATTAAGTTTACATTGTAAAACTTTACAACAAATGAACATGAACTCTCAATCGTTTATATTTAATAATATAAATAAGTTATCAAGTTTGTTTAGGGCATGATGGATGTTCCCTCGAAGTACATTGTAGTTGAAAGAATTTAATTTGAAGTTACAGTCAATGTGTATGCTCTAGATAAGTCGGTATCGAAAATATTTTCATATTTTTTAACAACCTGATAAGGTATAATTCAAAATGATCAGTAGTTCGGTATAAGACAGCTAGACTTTTTTTCTGGATTTAGCATGCACACTATACAAGTATTGCAGACAATGACATCCAACAAAAACAACATATTTTAGTAAGCTTCATCTATCATTTATTACTCGTACTAAATTTCTGTCGAACTATCCGACTTTTGTTGGAATTTTATTTTTGAAAAAAAATTTCCTTAAGAATAATAAAGTAGAGCTCAGAAGTAACAAAACAGGAACAATACTGAGCATCGGGTAAAAATCATTCAATGCATTGAGAAGAACAGGAAATAAATAGAATGTGATCATCTTTAATTTTTATTCATTAAACAATCATTTCAAACAATTATTTCAAAGTTGTTTTCCTTGTATAACCTTTTAAAAAATGAATTGCATATGCATCAATGCACCCATAAAACTTTTGTTAGAAAGATATTCACAGAGATCAAATAAGAAAATATTTTTAAAATAAGGTACATGTACACCATATATTATGCAAGTATCAAGTGGCTGTGGACTATCACAGTGGCGGATTCAGGGGGGGGGGGGTCGGGAACAAACACCCCCACCCCACCCCCGCTCAATCAAAAAAAAAACAGTTACAAGTGTTATTTAAACAATATATTTCATAAAATAATCATGTTGATTGATCATATTTGATAACATCAGGAGTAACCCTTTGCGCGCAGGACACAGCAGACCCTTTTGACATTCAGCAGGCATGCTATCAAATGTGTCATAAGACTAGTCCTAAGATATGACTGAAGAGATGTCTTATGACAAAACTCAGTATGGTCCTAAGAGAGTTCTTAAGATAGACATAGAAGCTTTCTTAAGAATGTCCAAACTAGGATAGACTTCTTAAGATAATTCTTAAGATTCTTAGGATAATTTTTAAATACTAGTATTGTAAAATTACAACATCGTTTATATAAAAAGAAACATAATAAAGGTGACTTATAATGAAATGATTAAATAACTTAACAAATGAGTATTCATAATACAAATGTTTAATTGTAAACATTCTTTCTTATTTAAAAAATCAATTAATGGACCTTGTGACGGTACATATTGTTTCTCTTCGTATTGTCGTCGGCGATAATATGTACCCTCACACCTCATATTGTCGTCAATCGGTACATATTGTCGCCAGCTGAAAAGTTACACAGCACAAATTGTCGCTGGCGACATTATGTGCCTACCTGCAATGCACATATTGTCGCCCCACAGATATTTGTTGCGGGTTTTTTTTTTTTTTAGTTTTGTGAAGGTAATTGGTGTGTAAATCACACTGACGTGTCTCGTATGCAATTTCATGCAAGGGGATTGTTACGACACATATTGTCGTCTTGTTTATATTGTCGCCGGCGACAATGTTTACCTTTCCTACACATATTGTCATCCATCGGTACATGTCGCTGACAATACCTGACAATGGTTCTATATAAAAATTCAATGACTATTAATGAGAAGAATATCTTTTCAAAGAATTTTCCTATATAAAATGTTGATCGCCCACTGTGGCCCCTCCTTAGCCCCGGAGCTCAAGATTTGAACAAATTTGAATCTACAGTCTACGCTACCTGAGGATATTTCCATATAAATATGGCTAATCATGGGCTTGCTGTTCTTATAATAGGGATAACGCAAAAATATTTTCCAGATAATCATAACTACTGAACACAAAAATAAACATTGTCTCGAAGTACATGTACATATAACGCTAAAAAAAGATGCATATATGCATACATGTATATCAAGAATTACGGTATCTTGGCATATTATAGTGATGTACACCAATCCTGGACCCAATTTTCTGATCGAAATCTTTTCTTCCTACGGTATTGCTAATTAAATAATACTAAAATAAATACAACTTTTGTATTTATCTTTCTGCCATGAACCATGTCTGTCTTTCTTTCTTTCTCTCTCTCCCTCTGTGTGTGTGTCATAGAATTAGAGATGAAGATCATTTAGAGTCCTGCTCCAAAACATTCAGAAGTTTATCGAGACAACAAGTGCAGAAAACAATGAGGAAACATGGATAGGACTGCTAACTCAGACATATCCCTGGTATTCGTGATATGTTATTAAAAATAACGATGTTCATTGATTGATTAACTGTATAATGTTTTACGTCTTATTCGATAATTTTTACCAATAAAGAGACGTCAGCATATGAAGGGCTTCAAATTAGGTTGTTTACTCGGCACTCGGGGCCATCAAGCAGTGAAGGTCTTTATCGTGCGAGTTCCTGCCGTGACACGGATCCTTGGTTTTTAAGGTTTCATCCGAGGGACCAGCAACTTTCACTTCGTGGTACTGAGCGCTTGGCGGAGGAACAGTTGCTATCTACTTTTTTATCGCGGCCGGGGTTCGAACCCATGACTTCTGATCACAGAGCGAGCGCTCTACCGACTGAGCTATAGTGACGGTAAACGACGAGTATTAATAATCTCTTTTTATGATAAAATAGTAATGATATCTTTATAAAAACAACCGGGGGTGTAATCTCTAGTCAAAATGATCAAAAATACCAAAAGGAACACTTCAACACTTTGTTATAAATGGAGTGCCAAATAATTGGGCCGGGATTGGTTTTGGTGTTTAAAAAAGCCTTTCCATTTCTGTTCCAGTCAATGGTAATACCATTTGAGCTATTCTCGCTTTAAAAACAGATGGTTTAACCTGTTGTCAAAATCCACCGTGTATATCCCAACATGCGGGGTGTATACTATGTCGTGTACGGGGTTTATTCTTTCGAAGCGATAAAAAGGGGGTCGAGGTACGTTTTATGTTGAGTTTCTCAATTTATGGACACAGTTCGCCAGAAAGCATCATTTTAGTAGCATATGGATACCTATGAATATACTGTACACTAGTTTCATCAAACACCTCAACACAATTCCGAAGATCTGAGCAAGATTGGCGTTACATTGTATATGATCAAATAACAGAACAAAGCTTTGCTATGTAATCACTTTTATATTACTGTTAAACATATGTTATCTATATTAATGTAAGTATAAATTGTCTTGAAATAAAATAGTTCGTATTTAAAGATATTGACGAAAAATGAACATTCTACCAGGGGTGCATGCAACCAATTGGACCCGGGGTGTATGTTAGTACAATTGTTAGTGCGAAATATCATCGAAAATATAATACATACAAATGTATAAAAAAGACCTTAATGCTGAACCAAGAATTAATTTCCAAAAATTAAACATATTGAAGTACTAAATAAACAAGCTTAAAATTTCAAAGGACTCAGTTAAAAAATTACATCAAACACTGCATGAATTGTGTATGAATATTTTTTTTTATTTTCAATAAGTGAAAAAAGGGTAAAGATAACGAACAGTGATCGATCTCATAAGAACTTCAAACAATACAAATCTGTGAACACAGACTCCTGGAAAATCATATATGTATAATCAGTATTTTTTGCCAATGCAAAAAGATAAAAAAAAACCTGTTTATTCAAAGTCATTAATTAATATAAATAAATATTTTAAGCATAAATCATGAAAGACATAAATTTTAATTGTTAAAATGATTCATATTAAACAATCATTAGAAGAAGAACTGGATGAGATGCCTTTAAATTGAAAAAAAATGGGGGGATTTGTTGGTCATCATATTGGGTCTGTTGATAATTTATAAGCTGGTTTGTTTTGTATTTGAGTATGTTTTTGAATATTAATTGTTCATCAACAATTAAGGTCCCTTTTTACCTTTACATTTGATACGTGTCATCATAAACTTTCACTATAAGGTCAATCTCTACATCCATCTGCAAAGCAAAATAGAATGAGTAAAAGGGAGACAAACATGTATCAAATTCGTTCTGTAAATCGATTTCATGTACCATGGGTTGCGCTATATTACAAAGCCGGCGAATAACATAAAACATTAAATAGTGCAACTCGTATCACAACCATCACTTGTATATGTTATATTTTAATGATACTTCGTCCCAAGATATTCATAAAAGTAGGCGTTATACATGATCCGGGGTCTAACAGGTTGCAAATACCCCATTCATTTTTCGTCAATATCTTTAATTACGAACTATTTTATTTCCAGACAATTTATACATACATTTATATGAGTAACGTGTGTTTAACAGTAATATAAAAGTGATGATATACCGAAGCTTTGTTCCGATATTTGATCATAAAAACAATGTAGCGTCAATCTTGCTCTGATCTTCAGAATGGTGTTAAAAGTATTCTGAACACTTCTTTTCGTATGAAAACTTAAAATATACGTATACTTAAAATCACTCAGGCTCAACACAAAATTTTAAATCATAGGAAATCATTCAAAAAACGTATAACTACATGTTGTAATATCCTCTCTCAGCGCAGAGGACCTCCAAAAACATCAGAGGTGGGATGAATTGCAATGGAGGAGTAAGCATCCCCTGCCTACCGGTCACACCCGCCGTGTGTTCCTTGTCATAATCGGGAAAAAAGGAAAAATCCGTAGACAATTCATTGTGTAAATAATGGGCTAACAATTAGTATGAAAAACGTCAGTCAGCATTCGACTTAATGACAGATTACAAATGTAAAGAGTCAATTCG